AGAAGACACAGAGAAAGTGGACTGAAGGGACAGAGAAGAGAGGAAAAAAAAAAAAGGCGTGACAGATGAGAGGAAAAACATTTTTAAAAATCTTGGCCACAGTGGTTGAAGGAAAAGACAGTAGAGAGAAAAGTTAGAATATTTAAAACAGGGAACCTGGGCAACAGGTTTTTTGCCTTTAAAAACAGCTGTGCCTGGAGAATGATGCTTCTCTCTAGCCTGCGTGCTGAGGGAGCCCATTTGCGCAAAGGTTTCCTGTTCATTAAAGCCTCTTGTGTGTTGCATCAACTGGACTGGCCATTGAGTTCTTGGGGGTACCGACTGAAACTGGGAGACTCCTCATTCAGAGGGTCTTACACCAGAGAGTTGAATTCCGTAACTGTTATAGTCAGAAGCAGCCACTGTGCAGGAGCAGTAGCTGAGATCTTACATCTTGATCCACAAGCCCAAGTCAGAGAAACCTAACTTGTTGGCAGCCAGCCTTGAGTCACATCCTCTCACAGAGTTGTTTATGCCATACCTCTAGTTGAGCCTTATCTTGGCAAAATGGGAAACTGCTCAACGGCAGTCTGTTTACTTCAGGAACTGAGATAAGCAGATAACAATGGTCTGAGATAACTGCCCAGAGTCAGCACAGTTACCCCTCCCTACTTCCTCCCTGCTTTGCTTTAAAAACCCCTCTTTGTGCCTAATAAAGTTAGACCTTGACAACCCATTGCTTGGTCTCGTTCCTTCTTTCTCGCCCATTTATTTTCAGGTTCTTGCCCACCTCTACCCACGAATAACTTGGTCCTGCAAGTCGGGGCACTAACTGGGAATGGAATGGGCTTTTAAGACCTCAAACCCTACTCCTGGTGACACATTTCCTTCTCTAAAAAGGCCACACACTTCCTAATCTTTCCCAAGCAGTTCATCGACTGTTAACCATGCATTCAAAATCACAAACCTATGGGACCCATTCTCACTTAAACCATTCCATTCATTATATGTTTCCCATGGTAAGAAGGCAAAGTACCTTAATTTTGCTGTATTCTCAAGAAATTATTGGCCATTGAGTCCATTAACCTAAATCATGGTATTTACACATACAGCTTAAATTGATATTGAAAGACCCCCCCCACTATGCTTATTGCCTGTTTGAGCTGCTCTCATTAATTGCCAAGGTCAAGTTACGTGAAAAGTACAGGAGGGAACCAGGTGCTGCTCTCATCCGACGCCAACCAGATATCTGTGGTCTGCAGCTTGGACTAAAGCAAGGTCAGCAGTACAGTATCCAGGATGCTGAGATAATCATAACTGAATTCTTTGTATTCTTTGTGCCCAACCCGAATAACCCACTGTCCTTGGTTAACTACAACTGCTACATTTAGATGAAACAATGAAATCCCTGTAACCATGTTTCTGCTTCTGTAAGTCTGCTTCTTGCCACACCAACCTTATATAAACCGCATATGCTTTAACCAGGCACGCTCGCTCAGTCCCCTGAAAGACTGAAGCATCCACAGGTGGTCTGGTCTCTTGGGGGCAAGGGCCTTCCCCCCTGACAGGCTCCAAACTCTTGGGGTCTCTTGGGGGTCTTTCAATATATGCTGTATTCCACTTAACATGTAAAAACATAAGCCCCAAACTGAGAATATTAAGATGAAGGGCTTTTTAGTACTTATAATGTGATGATCTCTCCAAATTCAGTAATAGAGTTATTGCCTGTATAATTCCTAAAGTCCCTCAGGAAGGGTATTTTTGTCACTTTATACCATGTGAGGACACAGACATATGTACCATCCCTAAAGCAGGTTGGCAGAATTCAGAAGGTTAAGAATTGGCTAAATCTATTTTTTTTTACATAGTTTACATAGTTTACATAGTTTACAGAACTATGAGTAGTATTTAGGCTTTTATTATTTAGTCAATGTTACTTTATTACAGCATCCTTTATATTCCAAGAGACAACATATTTTTGCCTTCTTTCAGGATACTAAAAAGTTCATCAATATGTGAGGATAAGTACAGTGTTTCCTCCAAGGCAAGATGATGGGCTTTATAAATTGCTGTCAACCAATCCAATTTAACAGTGATCTATAGCAACAAAGTGGGATGTTTTTTGCTTTCTCAAACAGAAATCCAAAATCATTTTGGTGATAATTTTCCTTTCTGTACCAGATATGGATCAGTGCATGCAGTGTAAAAAATAATCAGTCTGCCAACATGAAGCAAAATCACTGTCTTCCGAAAAGAGTGGTATTTCTGGCTTATGGGGATGACTCTAACTTGCAAGGCCCTGTTCTTCTCTGTACTCACAGCTATAGTTCTGCAGATGTGTATGGGGCACTAAGACACTCCTACTACAAAAGCCAATAGCAGGACTTTCAGCTACATTCCATTCATTTCCTTCATACTTTGCTTTCTGATCTACATTGAACATCACAGCATGGTCACTTGCATCCTTCAGGATACAGCTTTTGGAGTTCTGTTCACTGTGGTTCTTTCCACTGTGTTGGCCAAAACTATTCTGTAGGTCTGGCTTCCCATCTCAGTCACCCAGGAAAGAAGATGAGGGATATGCCAAGAGCCCCTACATTCATCATTTCCTTCAGTGTGCTGATCCAACTTAACATCTGTGGAATGATTAGGAATATCTCCTCCTTTTGTTGACACAGGTGTACATTCTCAACATGGCCACATCTTCATTCTGTGCAACAAGGACTTTGTCACTTCCTTCTATAGTGTTCTCAGATACCTGGGCTCTCTGGCCCTAGGAAGCTTCACTATGGCTTTCTTTGCCAGGAAACTGTCTGACTCCTTCAATGAATTCAAGTTCCTGACGTGCTGCATGTCGGTGTTCTGCAATGTCTGGGTGACTTTCTTCCCTGTCTACCACAGCACTAAGAGGAACATTACAGTGCTGTGGAGGTATTCTTTATAATCCATCTAGTATGGGGCTGCTAGTGTGCATATTTTCCCCAAAATGTCACATTATTTTGCTAACATCAGGTAAAAATTCTCTTTATAAGTTCAAAGATAAAACATAGCCATGAATCCTGATGGTTATTTTAAAAGTCAATTCATATGTGAACTTACCACTGAACTTGAAAACATCACTGCATTATTATTTTAAAAAGGGTTGTAATACACTATTTCTTTCCATGTAGAAATCACTCTCAGGTGTTCTATAATTTGTGTGGCTATATGAAGACTATTATCAGTCCAACTGTCCATGTTCGCTCCTATTTGTCTGTCCTCCATCTGTTTATTTAACATAAACCTGCTATAAAACACTGAGTAGACCAAATGGAGTGAAAGTTATTATTTTATCCCTCTAATATGCAGTAGTGTAGAAAATAAATAGAACATCTGTCTTTAAGAACTTTGTGGAAAAGTTAGAATTCATTTCTGTTGAGTGTGGAATGTTTGAGATGCAGTCTGTAAGAAAGGATGTTCCCTTCCATTATCTCCAAATTACTTTTAGAGTTAAGGTTATAACAATGTACCCCTTGGAGGAGCATTAGAATAGACTCATAAAAGATTAATATGTGCTCATTAAATAATAGAAAGGGTAGGATAAATGGGTAGGACGGAAACTATTTCACAGTAGTGGGTGACTCAGCAGGGCCCTCAAGTTGGCTATGAGGAAGTGGTTAGAAAACTGACAGCTGGGGGAACATTATCGTTAAAACAATCTCATTTAATACATTTGTATTTTAGTATACTAGAGACCAAAACCTTGTGAAGACAAATGACCCAGCTCTACCACTCCTTGGCTTATGCCCAAAGGACTCTACATCCTCTTCCACAGACATTTGCCCAGCCATGTTCATTGCTGCTCTATTCATATTAGGGAGGAAATAGAAACAACCAAATGTCTTTCAGCTGATGAGTGGATAACAAAATGTGGTGCAAAACACAACAGGAATTCTATTCAGCTGCTAAGAAAATGAAACCGTGATGAATGTAGGAGAGAACCCTGGATGGAAAAGGCCACATTTTGTATTTTATGCTTATGGGTGTTTTACCTGCATGTACATCTGTACACCACATATCTGCCTGGGGACACGACACGGAGGCCTAAAGAGGGTTGACACATTCTGTGGGTGCTGGGAAATGAATCTGAGTCCTCTGGAAAATCAGCCCGTTTCCGTAATCTAATTCATCTCTCCAGTGTTTAATCTATATTAAAAATTTCATTTTAAACCTCAAACTTGCTCCATTTTAACTGAGCCTAAATTTATTTTCTATAGCGAAGTGTGTGTGTGTGTGTGTGTGTGTGTGTGTGTGTGTGTGTGTGTGTTCTGGCTTTACCTGAAGCCAGAGATCTGGAGATCTCTGAAAAAAAAATCTCCTGCTTCCCTCGGAAAAACCATTTGTTCTCTGAGTGTCTCTGTGGACATGGGATTTCCTGTGCCCATCCACGACTTCAAATCATCTCCAGGAATCAACAACCAGAAAGGTCCAATGAGTACAGACCGGCGCCGATTTTCTCTCGGGAAAGCTAGGAGCAAATTCTGCTGGAAATGAATTTTCTCTACCAAGTTGGGCCGGTCTTCAACGATAAAAGAAACCGAGTTGGTAAGGGACTTGGCTGGAATGCGTCGATTCGACCGTCCTGTCAGACAGAGAATCGCTTTTTTTGTCACTCAAAGCATGAGCACTGATCAAAAGGCAAAAGGCGATGTGAGCTGTGCAATCAGGATAGCCAGGGGCAGGGCGGAAGTTCCTCACCCGCCATCCTTTTTCCTTGCTCCAGGATAGTCGCAGGATTGCATTGCTGTGGCCCCTGAGGTAGCAGGGGTCACAGCCTCTTTGCTGTGGGCCCGCCAACCTTGGGAGCAATGGTGAAGACCGCGGGGTGGACGGCGAGCTGTGGGAACGGGCGCACCGGTGGGTGGGGCGGAAGTCTCTCACCCGCCATCTTTCTTCCTGGTGCTGCCATAATCGCCGCTCTGCACTCACAGAAGAGGGAATCGGGATGGTTCGCCCTCCGCAGCCAAGTGACGCCTAGTGGCAGGGACAGTTTTGAGGCGCGGGAGCAGACTTGGGGTCCGATGCGTGCGTTCGCCGTCGCGGTCAGGCGCGCCAGCGAGAGGAGCGGAAGTCCCTGGGACTTCACGTCAGCCCTGGGAGCCCGGGGGACTGGGCCTCAATGGCTGTGTGACGGGCGAGCCCACGCGCCGCTGCGAGCCCGCTGGAGGCCCCGGCGCAGACATGGTGAGCGCCGAGTGAGGGGGCGGGAGCCGGACGGCGCGGGCAGCCCTCAGTCCCTCTCCTCCCGGGGTGTCGCACCCCGGCGGCCCCTGCGCCGTGCACTGCACTCCCGACTGCGCAGGAGCGGGCAGCAGAGGGGCCTGGCTCTGGGGGTGCCAGGGTGCTGAGAGTCTCCGAAGGTCTGTAGGAGCAATCCTAAAATCCATGAGTTTGTCCCCGATCCAAAGTAGGATGAAAGGCGAGGTGGGGCATGACCTGTTTCAAGCGAGTACTGGCAGTAGCGGGGAAGTCTCAATTATAATATGTGCGAGCATCTTCGGGGATTGGGAAGAAAAGGAGTTTTGTTTTTAGGGACGGACGACAATTTTTGACAAGCTGGAACTGTAGCAACTTCAGCTCTAAATAGTTTCCTCTGAAGTCACACTGTCTTTAGAATGATGTGTCCTGTTCTGTCTCAGGATGAGGGTGAATGAAAATGAAAAGTGACAAGATTGGAAGAAACGAGAGAAACTAAAGGAAACATTACATACGTATTTTGTTATTACTGCTAAGGTGGTTGTTTTGAGGGTCTCTGGCTAGTTTGTATCAACTGAATATAGGTTTTAAAATGGATAGATATTTTAAATGTCATCATCTAAGAACAGGGAGGAAAGGTTCCTAGAGAGATGTTGTGAGATGGACAGCTTGTAGCTGGTGCTGTTTACCAAAAGGGAAATGGAAGGAAGGAAAATAATGTGTGGAGATCCCCAAATGAAATTTCTTGGCCACTTAAGAGTTCCTCTGCCCAGTTTCTACAGTGATATATCATGAGCTGTGGTGAGGGAGTCTCAAAGCTCAGAGACAGGTTTAACCTGAGTTTGGGTTCCTTTGTGAACTGTAAGTGAAACGGGCTTCCTGGTTTTTTTTTTTTTTTTTTTTTGTTTTGTTTTGTTTTTTAACCAGGAAGTTTATAGCCCTTGAAGCTATAAATTCCCTATTCAAGAAGGTTGTGTTATGTTTTATTTTGTTGTTTATTTTTTTATGTGTCGCACAGGTTTTGTGTTTTCATTTTGATTTAGTTCTGGGAATTTTGATTTCTTTCTTGATTTCCTCTTTAGCCCATTCATCCTTCAATAATGAGTTGTTTAATCTCTTTGAGTTGTGTACTAACTAAATATTTGTTTACTGTTGATTTTAATTTTATTGCATTGTGGTCAGGTAGGATACATGGAGTTATTTCAGTCTTTCAGGATTTGTTAAGATTTGTTTTGTGCCCCAGGATTAGTCTATTTTTGAGAAGCTTCCATGGGCTGCTGAGTAGATTATATATATTCTTTGACATTTGGGCAGGATATTCTATAGATATCTGTTACATTGATTTGATTTATAACTCTAACACTTAATTCTGATGTTTTTCTATTTCTTGTCCAGATGCCCTGTCTATTGGAGACAGTGGGGAATTAAAATCACCTAATAGTATTGGATTAGTGTTAATCTGTCTTTAATTCCAGTAGTATTTTGTTGCTGTTGTTGTTTGTTTTGTTTTTTTGAAGCAGGTTTTCTCTTTATTGCTTTGGAGCCTGTCCTGGCACTCTGTAGACCAGGCTGGCCTCAAATTCACAGCCTCTGCCTCCCAAGTGCTGTGATTAAAGGTGTACACCACCAACGCCCGGCATCAGTAGTATGCTTTTTAATGTGTTTATTATATATGTATGAATATCTTGGCCTGTGTGTGTGTGTGTGTGTGTGTGTGTGTGTGTGTGTGTGTGTGTGTGTGTGTATGCGTGCACGCGCATGTGCATGTGTGAGCACACAAGCCCCAAATGCTTGTCTGGTCAGAAAAGAGCATTCCCTGAAATTGTAGGTACCCTGGAATTGGAGTTATAGATGTTTGTGAGCCACCATGTGGGTTCTGGGAACCAGCCGTTGCTATGCTTTTTATAAAATTAAGTGCATCAGAGCCTTTGCATATGTTCAGGATTGTAAAGTCATTTTGGTTAATTGTTCCCTGTCAATCACATATTTGTGTATTTGTGCTCTTCACAAGCCTGCATCTTTCTTCACCAGACTGTATTCTCTTTCACCTAACCCCTACAAAGAGGATCATCTCCTTTCACAAGTAAAAGTGCTTTGGGTTAGGGAATTCTGCTTTGTTTTTTCTCCCTAATCCGTTAAATATACCAAGTTTGCTTTTTCTGGGCTATCGCCCACAGCCACTCAGTTTCATCTGTTACCTTGTTTTCATCCTGTACAGAATCAAACTAGGGCTGACTATCCCTGTCCTCCTATCTTAAAGCTTAACCCAATATTCACAGCTTTAAATGTTTCCATCCATTTCTTACAGTCTTAAATTTAAAATTTTACTGTGATCTCAAAATACTGAAATTGTTTTTTCCTGTTTCAGTGAATAGCTTGGTATACACTGGTAGAAAGCGGAAATACAATACATGTTTCCCAGTCATGTTTTCCTTTTATATGCCAGGCTAGCTGGCTCACCAACCAGCTTCCTAAAATTCTCCTGTCTCTACATACCATCAAGCCACAGGAGTTCTAGACCTTTGACACTAAACTCTAAGATTTGACTTACACTTACACTTCTGGGTGCTGGGTTTTTTTTTTTTTTTTTTTTTTTTTTTTGTTGTTTTGTTTTGTTTTGGTTTTTTTTTTTTTTTTTTTTTTTTTGCTTTGATTTTATTGTAACTATGCCTTAATTCTTTCTGTTTCAGTAAGAAAATATTTAACTTATTTTTTTTATTTTACAGGATTGCACAGTTGAAATTATAAATATGCCTTACCATGTCTGGCTTTACTTGAGTTCTGGGAGTTCACTCTCAGGATTACACAACAAGTGCTTTATATATTTAGCCATCGCCTAGACCCTTCCACTATCCTTTTTTAAATTCTTTCATACAATATATCCCTATTACAATTCCCCCTCCCTCTACTCTTCCCAGTTCCCTTCCCATCTCCCCTACCCCCAGATCCATTCCTTCTTCATTCCCCTTCAGAAAAGAGCAGGCCTCCCAAGGATATCAGCTAAACATGACATAACAAGATACAATAATACTAGGCACAAACCCTCATACCAAGACTGGGTGAGGCAACCCAGTAAGAGAAAGGAGTCCCAAGAGCACACACCTGCTCCCACTGTTATGGGTCCCACAAAAACACCAAGCTAACAACCATGACATATATGCAGAGAACCTTGCACAGACCCATGCATGCCCTGTGATTGCCACTTAAGTCTCTGTGAGTCCCTTGAGATCTGATTAGTTGATACTGTGGGTCACATTCTCCTGGTGTCATTGACCCCTCTGATTCCTACAGTCTTTCCTCCCCCTCTTCCATAGGGTTACCCAATTTTTGCCTAATGTTGACTGTAGGTCTCTGCATCTATTCCCATCAGCTGCCAGAGAAAACCTGATAACAAATGGGCTAGGCACCAATAAGCTATTAATCAGTCTGTTAATGTTATCTTGAATAATGAGGTATTAATTAGCTTTGCATTCCTATCCAATATACCTAAGAAAAGCAACTGAAGGTTTTTTTGATAATTTGGAATCACCTAGGAGACACACCTTTGGGTCTGTGAGAATGTTTGTAAAAAGGTAACTGAGGACGGAATACTCACTCTGAATCTGTGTGCCTATCTTATTTTCTTTTTGTGTTGTTATGAAAAAGTGCCCAAGTGAATTCAATTTTAAAAAGGAAGGATTTAACTCACACTTCAAGATGTAATTCATCCTGATGGAGAAGTCAAAGAAGCAGGAGCTTGAAGTGGCTGGTCATATTACATCTGAAGTCAGAAGAAGAAATTTATGAATGTATGCTACTGTTCAGCTCACTTTCTTCATTTTATACAGTTCAGAATCTCATGACCAAGGGATAGTGTCACCTACAATTAAAATGGATTATCTTACATCAATTAGTATAATCATGATAAATCCCTACAGGTGTACCTAGATGCCCATCTCCCAGGTTATTCATCACTAACAATTACACATAACCATGGGTTGAGATGCCAGACTAAATAAAAGAGGAAAAAGGAAAAATACAAGTAGAAACCAGCATTCCCTGTTATGTTTCCTGATTATCACTGATGTGGAATCTCTGGTGCATGATCCTATCCCCATGAATTCTGCCATGTCTGTTCCCCCCCCCCAACAACAGACTCTACCCTCTTAAGAAATGATTCAAAATAAACCTTTCATGAATTGTTATTTAGTCATAGTGATGAGAAAAGTAACTTAAACTTTTTGAAAGGTTTATTTTATGGCGAGGTTCATATAATTCAATCTTGTCACTTAGGTCCATCGCTTTGGGTCTACAATGAGGTGGAACATTAATTATGGTCATAGGAACTAGTATTGGATGAGGACACTGACTCTCATAATCTATTCCTAAAATATGTGATTTTTAAGGCAGCTGGTTCTGTTTGGTTTGGGGTTTTTTTTTGTGTGTGTGTGTGTGTGTTTGTTTGTTGTTTTTTGTTTTGTTTTTCCAGACAGTGTTTCTCTGTATTGTTTGGAACCTGTCCTGGAACTAGCTCTGTAGTCCAGGCTGGCCTCAAACTCACAGAGGTCAGCCTGCCTCTGCCTCCTGGGTGTTGGGATTAAAGGTGTGGGCCACCAACACCTGGCTAGCAGCTGGTTCTTAACACATGTCTTCACTAGTAGTAATATTGTGGGGGAAATGATAAAGGTCTGTACACCAGTAGAAATTTTAAGTTTCAGCAGCATACTTGGTATTTTATTATTGCTGTGCTGTGCTTTACCAAGAGTTCAAAGCTAATGTGGGAATTCTTGTGTTAGAGAGCACAGATATGGATATAAAATAAAAGTATGATGATCAGGATATGTATTGAACATTTAGAGCACACTCAGACTTTCAGTGATGTGTGTCTTATCTTTTCTTCTGGAAACTTCTCGGTCATTTTAGGATTCTGTGACCTTTGAAGATGTGGCTGTAAGCTTCACTGTGGATGAGTGGGCTTTACTAGATCCTTCCCAAAAGAAACTGCACAGAGATGTTATGGAGGAAACCTTCAGAAACCTGACTGCTATAGGTATGAATGAGATCATACTTTTACTTTGTCAATCAGATTATAATAAGTCTGTCTTGTTCAAAAATGTTGTTCCATGATTTGGAATATGGAAAGAGTAAATTTGTTGACTATATCAGGCATGATCATGTTACACCATGAATCTACATAGAATCTGGTATTTCTGTAATAACTACGTACGTAAGTAAATCAGATATCTCTGGATCTACATTCTAGGAAGAACACCAGAAGAGCAGCACATAGACAATGACCACAGATATTCTAGAAGAAATCAAAGGTAACTTTGCCAACCCATGATAATGTGTCTCATAATCTGGAAATTGTCACTTGTTTTTAAAATCAAAACAACTATCCAAATAGACCCAGCTTCAAGGTGATGTAATCTAAAGTATTTATCTCCAAATGTGCATATAGGATTAGAAATATTTATACATTTGCCATGATGATGTAAGTAATACTTTCTAATAGTTTTATATATACAATCTTTTTTCCAAGCAACAAAGTTAATGAAAAATAATGTGTGTTCCTTCCTTCAGGCTTTGAGTATGCAGTATATAGAAAATATAAAGAAATTTTATATTTACTCTAGGAACAATCTTCAAGATATATATATATGAAAAAAATTTAGATAGAGAGTAGTTTTGCTTAAGCATTTTGCATAAGGAATAATCAAGTACATTTACCTGTGATGGAGAAGTAAATATGATCACTCATGCCCTCATTCCCACCTATTTGGAGTCTGAAGGAATGTTGAATTTGAAGGTAGCCCATGCATCATAGCAAGAGATTGACCTCAAAACTAATTAAGACCTAGACTTTCTAAGAAGTGCCATGTGATTGGGCTAGGAAAATGACTCACCAGGTAAAGGTATTCACTACCAAGCTTGATGACCTGAGTTCAATCCCTGAGAACCATATAGTAGAAGAAAATCATCCAAGCTGTCTTCTAACTTCCATATGTACACCATACCATGTGTACATGGTACTATAGTGTACCATGGTACATAGTACATGTATACTATTTACAAATAGTAAATAAATAAAAGTTAACACAAAAAGAAACCCTATATGAATATAGTGTCTTGATATTGCATGTCTCCTCATCCTGTAGAACCTTCAGTCATATTCAGAAATTCTGCTGGTAGGGAATTTATAACTTTATTGGTGAACTTTCCTTTCTTTCTCTCTTTCTTTCTTTTTAATAGAAATGCAGTTGTGGAAAGACTGTTGGAACATAACAAAGGAAATGAATGTGAAGAAATCTTCAGACAGATTCCAAATACCTTTTTGAACAGGAAAATGTCTCATAGAACAATGATTTGTGAAAGCCATGTGTATAAAGACAACGTGCTCATCAGTCATTCGTCTCTTAATGTGTCCGTGCCTCTTCAGACTACAAAAAAACCTCATCAATATGAGCTATGTGGAGAGAGCCTTTATAAGATTGGGGAATGTGAGAAAGCCTTCATTTATCCAGAATGCTTTCTGAAGCATGAAGACACTGATACTAGACAGAGATCCTATGACTTTAACCAGTGTGAGAAAATCTTCAAAAGCAATGGTTACATTCAAATACATGTGAATAATGAAACTAGAGAGGAAATATGTATGGATAAGCAGCATTATAATTCTTTTACTTATCCTGATTTTCTTCAGTATGTTGAAAAGATCCACACTGGAAAGAAACCCTATGTATGTAAACAATGTGGGAAAACCTTTTCTTTTTTGAGTAACATTAGAAGACATGAACGAACTCACAGTGGAGAGAAACCATACAAATGTAATAAGTGTGATAAAACTTTCACTTGTTTGACTAACTTTCAAGAACATGAAAGAACTCACACTGGAGAGAAACCCTATTTGTGTACACAATGTGGGAAATCTTTTTCTTTTCTGAGTAACATTCGAAGACATGAACGTACTCATACTGGGGAGAAACCATACAGGTGTAATCTATGTGGTAAGGCTTTCAGTTATTTGACTAACTTTCAAGACCATGAAAGAACTCACACTGGAGAAAAACCATATGTGTGTACACAATGTGGAAAAGCTTTCACTTACTACTATTCCTTTCAAACACATAAACGATGTCACACTGGAGAGAAACCCTATGTCTGTAAGCAGTGTGGGAAAGCCTTCAGTTATTACAATTCCATTCAAACACATAAACGATGTCACACTGGAGAAAAGCCCTATGTATGTAAGCTGTGTGATAAAGCCTTTACTACTCTCAGTTCTCTTCGTTATCATGAGAGGATTCACAGTGGTGAGAAACCCCATGTATGTTTGCAATGTGGAAAAGGTTTCAATTCTTCCAGTACGCTTCGAATACATGAAAGGATCCACACTGGAGAGAAACCCTATAAATGTAAACAATGTGGTAAAGTCTTTAGTGTTGACAGTTCCCTTCGATACCACGAAAGGATTCACAGTGGGGAGAAACCCTATGTATGTAAGCAGTGTGGAAAAGCCTTCACTCGTCACACCTCCCTTCGATGTCATGAAAGGATTCACTGTGGGGAGAAACCTTATGTTTGTAAGCAATGTGGGAAAGGTTTTATTTCTTCCAGTAATTTTCGAAAACATGAATCAACTCATTCTGGAGAGAAACTCTGTGTATGTAAACTATGTGGTAAAGCCTTTACTGATCATAGTTCACTTCGACGACATGAAAGAATTCACAGTGGAGAAAAACCCTATGTATGTAAGCATTGTGGAAAAGGTTTCTCTTCCTTAAGTGGTTGTCAGAGACATGAACAAATTCACACTGGTGAGAAACCCTATGTCTGTAAGAATTGTGGGAAAGCCTTCACTAATCCCAGTGCCCTTCGAAATCATGAAAGGATTCACAGTGGTGAAAAGCCCTATGTATGTGAGCAGTGTGGGAAGGGTTTCATTTCTTTTAGTAAGTTTAGAATACATGAACGGATTCATACTGGAGAGAAACCATATAAATGTAAACAATGTATGAAAGCCTTTACTGGTCACAGTTCCCTTCGACGTCATGAAAGGATTCACACTGGAGAGAAACCTTTTGTATGTAAACAGTGTGGGAAATCCTTTTATACTTTAAGTGACTGTCAGAGACATGAACAAATTCACACTGGTGAGAAGCCTTACATTTGCAAGCAATGTGGGAAAACCTTTACTCGTTCCAGTTCCCTTAAAATACATGAGAAGATTCACACTAGAAGGAATTCCTAACCTTAAAACATGAAAAAGTATTTTTAACATGGTAATGCATAAAACAGAACCAGTGTCATGTCTGTGGAAATGCCTTTAGTCATCTTGGTTGTATTCACAGACATAATATTATATATCATAGTGAATAATCTTAAATGGGTGTGCACATGTCTTCAGTTGGCTGACCTCTAAGAATGTACTCAGTATCAAAACTTGTATAGCAAAGTTATCTGCTATAAAACAGTTTCCAAGGTTTTGTGAAAAGATAATTTTTTTATGCTTCCTTTGAATGAGTTTGAGAAAGAATATTGCATTAATTGGTCAATAATTCAGAAGATAAGTCTCTGGGATGTATCTAATTTTTTACTCTTGTAAATAAACTTTCAGATGACTTAATCTCTAAGGTTTCTTTAAGCAGTGGGGAATGAATTTAAAAGATAGTGTCTTTTTTACTCAAGTTGTGTATATTTCTTTTCATGGTGGATCCATATGTAAATCAAATGTATTTCTAATGTATTTTAGAGTAATATTAATGAGCTATTGAAAAATGAAGTTTTATTCTTAGAATTTCTCCATTGATATCATGTGGCAGCTTCTTTGATGTTTTTTCTCTTTTATTATATTGTTGGTGCTGGGGTTGATTTTGTTTTTTGAAACAAGGTTTCTCTGTGCAGCCCTGGCTGTCCTGAGACTAGCTCCTTAGACCAGGCTGACATATAACTCAGAGATCTACCTGCCTCTGCCTGCCCAATGCTAGGATTAAAGGCATGTGCCACCATACCTGGATTATCTTTGATGTTTGTACTGATTGTTTTCTTTTTTCTTTTTTCTTGGTTTTTCAAGACAGGGTCTGTTCTTTTTTTTTTTTTTTTTTATTGCTAATTAATGTCAAATACTTCAAACAACCTAAGGGGGAGAATTTCTTCCCTTTGGCTCACAATCGATTATGGCAGAGAAGTCATCAAGTAGAGATGTTTGTAACATTGTGCACACAAAAGTAAGTAGAATGTGGTATAAGAAGGAGCCAGGGGCTGGAGATATGGGTCAGTGGTTAAGAACACTAGCTGGTCTTCCAAAGGTGCTCTCTTCTGGCCTGAAGGGATACATACAGACAGAACACTATATACATAATTTAAAAAAAGAAGAGGCCACTAGAAGATATAAGGACACGCTTTCGCAGTGACCCATTTCTGCCAATTATGGCCCCTACATTTCACCACTCCCCAGTAGCACCCTTATGAACACATGTAGGGGTTGATCCTTTTACTAGAATAAAGCCCTGTTGATCAAATCATTTCTGGAAATGACAAAGCATAGTTGTGCCAAGTTACCCTAGCATTTCTCAGTGCAGTTAGGTTGGTTACTTCTCGGATCAGATGTCATATATTTTGTTTTGCACTTGGATATATGTTTTCTTGAAGACATTGCACATTAGAGTTCTCAGTTATTTTTTAGCCAATATACAGATTATCGAATCTGAAAATATCTGGCCATAATCATATATTAGGTAGAATTTATGACTTTGCCAGTATTTTCCTTTAATGTCAAATTATTATCATGTGCTTAGAAGTAATGGCACCATTATCATACATTAATTTCACTTCAGGCTTATGTTGTAACTTTTATTTTATTCTTTGTACTTTACTCATACTAAAAGACACACCATGCTAGGTTAAGTGACTTTTTTTTGTTGTTGTTGTTACTATTTTTTTAAATTTATTTTATATAACCAAGTCCATTTAAATGAAAACAAACATTTATAGACAATATTTGGGAATTGGGGCGACATTCTTAACAAACTACTTCCTGCTGGTAAAGGGCGCTTTCATGGGAGATTCTAAGAACATGCAGTAATCCTGGCTGTAGTCTGTAAGACTGCTTTGTCCACCTATTTTGAATGTAGGATCACCTGGTACTCTGTTTCAGCTGGTCTGGCTTGATCAATCCACATTAGCCTGGAAGGAATCCACATCTTTTCATTTTCTGTGGAAACAAAAATAAAAAATCCTTTTCCCCAGCAACTTGTCCTTGAACTTAAATTGTGGAATCAAAGCATTTTTTTAAATTTATTATTTTACATGTCGATCCTAGTTCCCTCTCCCTCCCTCTCTCTCTACCTCTCCCCTCCCTCCCTTCTTCCTTTCCTCCTTCCCTCCCTTTTACCCTCTCTGCCCTCTCACATGCACTCTAACCACCCTCCCATCCCATCCCCCCACCCCAATTCCATATGTAGGGGAATGCCATCCAGTTGAGGTCATGTAGAGTAGGGACTAGGGCTTCTCTCCTATCTCTAGAATAAGGCAGTTATCCCTCCATGGGGGATGTGTTTGCAAAGTCATTTTGTGCACCAGGGATACATCCTGACTCCACTGTCTGAAGTCCCTTAGATTGCTCAGTCCTTCTGGCTGAGACCCATATTCAGGGGGGCCTGAGTCAGTCCCATGCTGGCTTCCCAGCTATCAGTCTGGGGTATGGTTAGCTCCTCCTTGTTCAGATAAGCTGTCTCTATGTGTTTCTGCTGCTGGGTCTTGTCCTCTCCATCTGCATCTGACTTCTACTTATACTCAGTATTTATGTATGGGTGTTTGCTCCTGTTTCCAACAGGCATTAGTTGAGGGCTCCATGGATGAGTTAGTTGTTGATCTCCCTCGCTGGGAAGGGCATTTATGGTAGCCTTTCCACGGAAGCTCAAATTGTTGGTTGGGAGCAGTCTTGTAGTTCTCTAGACCTTTCTTTGTGTTCAATTTTATCTTCAAACCAATATTGGCTCCCTCTTTTATGTTCTCTCTCTCTTTCCTGTCTTCTATTCCTAACCAGGCTCAATCTTCCTGGTCGCACATGTTTTCCTTTCCTCCCCCTCGTTTTCTCCTATTTCTCTCTCCATTCGCTGCCCCCCCCACTTCCCCTGAGCTCTGGGGGACTTGTCCCTTCCCAGTTCTGTGAGGGACTTTATATGAATCTCTTAGAATACACCTTGTATCCTAGTTCCTCTGGTGGTGTGAATTATAGGCTGGTGATCCTTTGTTCTAGGTCTAAAATCCATATATGAGTGAGTACATACTGTGTTCCTCTTTGTGACTGGGTTACCTCATTCAGGACGGTTTCTTCAAGTGCCATTCACTTGCCTGCGAATTTCAAGATACCATTATTTTTTTTCTAAAGAGTAGTATTCCATTGTGTAGATGTGCCACATCTTCATTAACCATTCTTCAATTGAGAGGCATCTAGGTTGCTTCCAGGTTTGCTATTACAAATAGTGCTGCTATGAACATAGTTGAACAGATGTCTTTGTTGCATGGATGTGAATCCTTTGGATATATGCCTAAGAGGGGGATTGCCGGGTCCTGTGGTAAACTAATTCCCATTTTCCTGAGGAACCGCCATACTGATCCCCAAATTGGCTGTATGAGTTTGCACTCCCACCAGCAGTGGAGGAGTGTTCCCCTTTCTCCACATCCTCTCCAACATGAGTCATCATTGGTATTTATAATTTTAGCCATTCTGGCAGTGGTAAGATGGTATCTCAAAGTTGTTTTGATTTGCATTTCCCTGATAGCTAGGGATATGGAGCATTTTCTTAAGTGTCGTTCAACCTTTATGATTTTCTCTGTTGAGAATTCTTTCTTCAGTTCTGTACCCCATTTTTTAATAGGGTTATTTGGTGTTGTGTTGACTAGTTTCTTGAGTTCTTTGTATATTTTGGAGATGAGCCCTTTTTCAGATATAGGATTGGTGAAAATCTTTTCCCAGTCTGTGGGCTGCCGTTTGGTCTTGTCTTCTGTGTCCTTTGCTTTACAGAAGCTTCTAAGTTTGAAGAGGTCCCATTTATTAATTGTTTCTCTCAGTGTCTGTGCCCCTGGAGTTATATTCAGGAAGCGGTCTCCTACACCAATTTGTTCAAGGTACTTCCTACTTTCTCTTCTAAGAAGTTCAGTGTGGCTGGATTGATGTTGAGGTCTTTGATCCATTTGGACTTGAGTTTTGTGCATGGCAACAGACATGGGTCTATCTGCAGTCTTCTACACACCCTATCCAATTGTGCCAACACCATTTGTTGAAGATGCTGTCCTCGCCCCATTATATAATTTTAGCTGTTTTGTCTAAAATCAGGTGTTCATAAGTGTATGGGTTAATATCAGGATTTTCAATTCGATTCCATTGGTCTACCAGTCTGTTTTTATGCCAATACCAGGCTGTTTTCAGAACTATAGCTCTGTGGTAGAGCTTAAAGTCAGGAATGGTGATGCCTCCTGAAGTTCTTTTATTGTATGAGGTTGTTTTGGCTATCCTGGGTCTTTTGTTTTTCCATATAAAGTTGATTATTATCCTTTCAAGGTCGGTGAAGAATTGTAGTGGGATTTTAATGGGGATTGCATTGAATCTGTAGACTGCTTTTGGCAAGATTGTCATTTTTACTATGTTTATCCTACCTATCCAAGAGCATGGGATATCTGTAAGGAGTACGGTTTTTTCAGCCCACCGCCCGGTCTTGTCCCGCCGCCACGCCAGCCCCAAATACCACACAGAGACTCTATATTTGATATTATACTGTTGGCCAGTTACTACTTTTAGAGGTTTTTTTTTTTTTAATATGAATCTGTCTTTACTGTAAATCTTTTTATAGCCATGAGTCTTTTATCTGTTAAACAACAACATTGTTAAAATGAAAGTCTTTGTTGTTTTTGTCGCAGTTTATAAAAGATGGCTGCGGCTATTTTACCGCCAGTATTGAAAGCTGTGCTCATTGTCTTGGTCTCTATGTTGTCGGCTTGGAGATGTGGTTATTGTCATTGCCAGCTCTGATACACATCAATAAATTGTTAGTAGCGTTTTTTTTAAAGCCATGTGGTTTTTTGTCGTTTATGTTGAGTCAGGAATCTTTTCTTAAAGGAGCCGCGCAAATATCTGTTTGTCTCTTGCAAATCAGAGTCCAACCAAGAAAAATGTTGTTACCAAGAAACCTTGTTTATCTCTGTTTTTTTTTTTTTTTTGATTTTTTGTTTTTAAAACCCTTTTTTAAGCTTTTGTTAAATTTTAAGTGGAAGTTCTTACTAGCCATGTGGGTGCCATGTATAAGGAGTACAGTTTTTCTGTCTGCTGCCTGGTTGAAACCCAATCCTGGGAAAATCCTAATCCCACTTCTGACACCAGATATCGCGGTTAAATAAGGATCAGGATAAACAAATAGGCCGAATAGATGTTTATTCAGGGAGAAACAACTTACAACCTAGACAGATGAACACCAGGAAATTCAACCCGATCCTTTCCTGTCCGAGTCGCGCCCGCAAGAGAGCTTTTCCAGGCTCTCCCCCTGACTTCCTGCCACAGGTCACTTCCGCCCATTGCTCCACCCCCTAATGGGCGTGGTCAGTGCCACAGAAGGACTATCTCACTACAGAGATCTTTCCATTTTCTGGTATCTTCTTTACTTTCTTTCTTTAGAGCCACAAAGTTCTTATTATATAGGTCTTTTACTTGTTTGGTAAGCATTACACCAAGATACTTTATGTTGCTTGTG